AGGCTGGCACCAGCCAACGATGACCAGGGCTGACACGGTGCCAAGGGTGCCCCTACAGCAAAGACAAAGATCGATTGCCTTAGCCCAGGAGAAAAAAGAAGAGATTATTGAGTCACAGCTGCCTCTGAAATGTCCTTGGTACAATATGTATAGCCACTTTCTCCATTTTGTAAAATGAAGATGCTGAAACCATATGAAAATAAATGAAGAAGAAAGAAGAAAGCCCAGCCAGCTTAGAAACTTGAGTCATTCCACCACAGAGGCTAAATATTTTATACTTCAGTAAAACTTCATATAGTAAAAACATGAAGAACCACCAGACTCACTCCCTCTTTGTCCACCCATCAAGCCCCAAAGCTCCTGAAACGTCCCTTGTATTGTACTAAGTTTTGAGCCTTTCTCCTCCTTATAGCTACAGGTTTCCTTTCCCCTGCTTTCTTCAAAATTTCCACAAAGATAAAAGATGCATGACTTACAGTTCCTACGTAGGTTGAACTTAGTTCCGCTACGCCAGCATCCTATTTTCTAGTTTTTCTGGTTCCCCAATAATGAGCAAACCCGAACACGGCTCAGTAGGAAAACACAATGACTTTAGGAAGCACTATATGGGGCTCGCAACGGCCATCCCCTGAAGTTATTTGTATGTTGTAATGCTGGAGTTTTAGATACTGAAATAAGATTTTGTTCAATGGTATCGTCAAAAGTTAACTACCAATGTTTAGCAAATTCATAGCAAGGCTGTTGGGGGAAAAACAGCCCAATGCCCATCAATCCAAGATTTTGGATAAATAAAAGTGTGGTCTAAGTATACCTGGAGTACTATTCACCTAAGAAACAATGTGGGATTATAGCAACACTTTAATATTCCCTGTTAGAGCTGGAAGCCAACGACTAATGTGGAAGTGGGTCCAAGAATGAAAAAAACAAGCACCACAATATACCTCAACAGCAAATTTGTATTACGAACAGCAATAAGTGTCCACATAAAGTGCTTACAGTAAATAGTATTTGGGCAGGTTGGGGAGGGGGGAGGGGGGACGGGTTATATACATAACCAAATTGAGTTTGAAGAAATTGGCCACCCATCTGGGATGGTTCATGGAGACTCCAGACTTGGTGGGAGGGGAAGAAAGACGAAACCTTAAAAACTGTAACCCCATAATATGCCGAAATAAAAAAATAAAATATACACACACAAAAAGTACCTACCGAGGCAAACCATTTTTTAAGATGAATGTGCCTGTTTAAATCCAGCACTCTGAACCGATGCGGGCCGGAATCACTCAGGTCAAAAGGAGTTCGCGAGACACTGAGCAAGAGCAAGACCCCGTTTTCTACAAAGAAAAATTAATTGGCAACAATATAATATATTAATATATAAATTACCCCAGGCATGGTGGCAATGCCTTAGTTCAGCCTACTTGGGGGAGGGCTGGGAGCAAAGGATCTCCTAAGCCAGGATTTTGGAAAGGTTGTTGGAGCTAGCGAATCCCATGGCAGTCTAAATCCTGGGCAACCGGAGTGAGAATCCTGTTCTCAAAAAAAAGAAAGAATATTGGCAAGATGGCAAATAAGTGGTTAAGTCTGGCCACCCGTGGAATAAAAAAGCCTAGCAGGGTACTACAAGTAAAAACTATTCTTTCCTAATGTGCCAAACAAATCATATTAAAAATGAACATAAGGCAGGAGAACTCAGATTCAGTCCCAGCTTCAGCATGCAGGGACTTTGTTCAAAAAAGCAGGCATTTGTCCAGCACTCTCAAATCCTAGCCAACTTTTGCCTATCCCCCCACCATCCAACGCACTGCCTCAACTTGGCCTGTTGATTTCTTGAAGTTCGGAATTGTGTTTTTATTATTCTGGAGAAATGAAACCAAACACTTTTAATAAATTTCACTTTGAAGCAACAATAAAAATCTGTAACGATACTTATAATGCCCTCAGAATTACAGTAATCAAAAATATTTTGTTTTTTTTTTTTTTTTTTTTTTTTTTTTTTTTGAGCACAGATCCTCACTTTTGTTTGTCCAGCTAGAGTGGAGTGCCGTGGCGTCAGCCTAGCCTTCACAGCAACTCAAAAACTCCCTGGGGCTTCAAAGCCAATCCTGTTCTCAGCCTCCCGAGTAGCTGGAAACCTAACAGGCCATGCCCCCATATGCCCGCTTTAATTTTTTAATATATAATATATTCATTGTCAATAATTTCTTTCTATTAAGTAAGACAGGGTCCCCTTTGCTCCAGCTTGGTTTTGAACCCTGAACCTTGAGCAATCCGCCCGCCTCGCCTCCCAAGACTAAGGATTCAGGCGTGAAGCCACAAGCGCCCGCCCCAAAAAATATTTTAAAAGCAATCCAATGAGAGGAACCAATATTTATTGTTTTTTTTAATAGATACCTATTAGGAAGCAGTTTCTAAAGTTGATTTAAATGGTACATGTTTTTGTGAACCGAAAAGTAAATTACATCTGATTTTAAAGTAATGAGACAGTAAATATTCAATTTAATAGTCCCAGGGGTCAAAATTTATCCATTGTAATTATTAATTTAATTTGTAATCCCACATCCATCCTATAATATTTCAGAATATAAAAGTCCCGACCTTTCTTAATGAAATCCCAATTCCAAAAGTTTCCTAGTTTTTTTCTTCTGCCAATTCTGACTATTCCTGAAGTTATAAAATGCTCCGAACTCAACTTGGCTTGAAACTATGTTTTAAAACCTTTAAAAATAAACCATAGGAAATCCATATTAGTATACTTGTTTTGCAAAACCAAAGTAGAATACGAAACTGAAATATGTATTACTCGAAACTTCTATACTAAATAACAGAAAAGGTGAAATCCAACAAGCTTACTAAAGAAAAGCATATGAAAAAATGTTGGGATTTTTCCAGGTAAGAACTCAAGTAAATATTACCTATTAACCAGACAATTATGTTTTTAGACATTCCAAGGTATATATTTCCGCCAATTCTTCCTCTTTAGAATTGCTGAAGTAGTGCCGATAAAAGTCTCCTCCTAAGTTATTCTTTCGGGAAGACGTCATTTTAAAATACACCATTAATATAAACAAGAAAAAAGCCATTATAAAGTCCATTCTCCGATGATGTTTCATAAATGTTAACTTGTGATCGAATATGACAAAACATAAAGGCTTTTCCCTAAGATGTTATCTTTTGCACGGTAAATTCTTATATAATATCTCACCAGGGGTAATTAAAAAATCTAGGATTTTTCCATTACTCAAGAAAAAATGCAACTGTTGTCTTTGGGTGGTAGAAAGAATGAACACTGACCAAGTTTTTATTTTAATGGGGTTTAGAACCCCGCCAGTCCCGCAAGGAACTATGGAAGAATCGCTTGCTTTCCTCCTCACACCAGTGGGAGGTTGATAATGCAAAATACTTCCCTGGGAAATTTCCCCAAGCCAGAAACTTGGTAATCTTAACTGTAGCTATTAATACTTTGAATGCAAACGCAACTGCAGATGAGGAGAGAAAAGAAACAAATGTTTGAACTTGGAGCATAAGATACTGCTGGCAAGTTCTCGCAGCGGTTTAAACACCTGAAATTCCTGGGAATTCACTTACAGTGCAAAACCCCAGCTAGAAAAAGAAACACGCCCTTTCTAGCCTAGAAGGCAATAGGGCCTGGGATCAGAAGCAATTGCATGCTTCACCCGGCCGCTTTACCTTCCAAAAATAAACAGTGATTTCTTACACTTGTTATTACACACGAACAACAAGGTCAAAACATGGAAAAATGTGAAACCTTTAAAATGCCAGTTTTTCCAGGCCGGCGCAGTGGCTCCACGCCCCTGTAATCTAAGCACTCTGGGGGAGCCGAATGGCCGGGCGGATTTCTCCAAGGCAGGATTTTTTCCAACCACCTGAGTGGAAATCGGGTCTCTTACCATCATAAAAGGAATAGAAGAAATTAATTGCAACTAATATAATAATGATAAAAATCAGCCGGCCAGTGGCTTCGTGGCCTACCAGCTACCTCGGAGGTCCTGAAGGCCAGGAGGATTCTTAGCCCAGAAGTAGGTTGCTGTACTTAGCGAACGCCATGGCAACCAACCTAGCCCCTAGGCAAAGAAACGAGACTCTGTCTCAAAATAAATAAATAAAAATAAAATTAAAAAGTGCCAAGTTTTCAAGATAACTGCTTTACTTTATTTTAAATCACGAGAAGACTACAACTTGAGCCCATGGGACTAACTTCCCTCAAACTGTGGTGAAACTTTTCCAATAGCTGTTGTTCCCTAAAGTTCACAACCAAAAACGATGGGAAAGACTTCAAGCTTTTGCAACCGGGTGGCAAACGCCTTTGCCGATGATCAATGCATGCAGACTTGGAGCACAACGTTTCCCACTTACTGGCAGGAGAAGAAAGGAAACGGCGCAGCCAGAGCAGTGACCATGGCAGCAAGGCAGTTGACCCAGCAAAGCTTGGCGCACAACAAGCCCCGTAGGATACACCCGGAAGAGACTTCATTCAAGTTCAGTAAGGCAATAAACTCCAAGGCAGCCCGACGGCCTCATGCCGGTACACGAACCGAAACTTGGAACTTTTGCCCTGCCCTGAAAACAAAACGTTGGAGAAGACGGTTTAACACACAGTAAGACGTCAAGAGCAAAGATCTGAACGTCAAACAAAAAAAGGTATCTTAGAGTCCAGCTCACCTGCCCCCATGTTCTTTTGTAGTGGCTGGTTGTTCAGCAATGTACAAGCGAAAACGGTAAGGAACTGACCAGGGGAAGACCCAAGTGGGCAAGCATCAGAAAAGATCAAGAAAATAACCTTAATGCTACCAGTTGGGCTCCCTTTCGGACCCACTTCCTTTGTTCCTCCCCGTTTTTTATACCCTTGGTGGGAAAACTTCAAAAAAGCGTCCAATCAAGCAAACAAGCCTTAACATCCCAATCAAGCACAACTTTTAACATCCCAATCAAGCAAAAAAAGTTTTAATATCCAATCCAGTAGTGAGTTCAGCCCATGGGCCGGGTTGGGGGAATTGTTTTCCCTATTCATTATCATCAGAAAAGATTAAG